GCCATACCCTCTTATGCAGCTGACTTTGTACATAACAGGTACTCAATAAATCAAGATGGATAAATAAATGAATGGGTAGAAGGAAAGGAGAAAAAGTAAAGATTAAGAAGAGGTTCCAACCCTAGTATATTATATGTTGGGGGTATACAATATTGACAGAGTTCCAATAAGGGTCACAAATCTATCTTTCTTGGATTTATCTAACTCTTGTCAACCTTTGTTACTTCATGAAGGTAACTCAGCCAGCAGTTTGCTTCTGTACTCTGGCCTAGAATTTTGCCCTAAGGCTTCCTTGGCCTTACTTTTCAGATGATCCCTAAACTTCTAGAAATCTAGCACAATGGAGAGTGCAGGACTTGCAGCAAGAACCTGGGTGCAAATTGCTGCTCTGTCAATTAATAGCTCAAATTCCAGCCTATTATTTAGTGGTTCTATGGCCATTGTGTTAGTTACATTTCTTTGAACCTTGTTTTAATCTATAAATTGAGAGAATAAATACTCCATAACATAGTAGGGAGGACTCATATCTTCCCAATAATGTAGAACATTTAATAAAATTTGCATCCTCCTCTAACCCATACCTTCCCATTGTCATAATGCTACAGACTTTAATCATAGCCTCATTTAAAACACAAATCCATCGGATTCTTCATATTTGGAATTTGACAAAACTAAGTTATCCTAGACTAGTGGTTCTTCATCTGTGATTTTTTTTCCCCCAAGGAATATTTGGCAATGTATAGAGATATTTTTGGCTGCCACAACTGGTGTGTGGGGCGGGTGCTACTGGTATTTAGTGGGCAGAGGACACAGATGTGTTAAATATCCTATAATACACAAGACTGCTCCACACAAAAAGAATTATCTGGGCCAAAATAGCAATAGTGCTAAGTTTGAGAAACTCGACTCTAGAGTAATGGTCCACGGGAGAGACCAGCTTCTTGCAGATCCCATTACCCAATTCATTCCAGCATGTGTGTGTGTGTGTGTGTGTGGGTGTGTGTGTGTGTGTGTGTGTGTGTGTGTGTTACCAGAACAGAAGGTGGGAGAAGTAAGAGGAAGTTAGGATAAAGGACCGGAAGATACCAGCAGAGGGCTGTTTCCCACAGCATCTCTGTTTAGAAAATCCTACTTTCCCTTCCAACTCTCCAAAAGCCCAGCTCAAGTCTTGTATCTTCTGGGACATTTTTCCTGAGCACCCAAGGATTCAATTTTCCCTCCCTTGACCTCTCAAGATTAGATTGCTGATTTGTGACTTAAATCGTATACATCCAAGAAGTCCCTGCCTTCACATTTCACACATATACTATACACATTAAGAACTGAGCAATTAGGATTCACATCTTCTTAAGGTGGTTTACAAAATGGAAAAGGAAAGTGTGCATTCATGCATTCGTGGCATATCTCTGGTGAAGGCTGTTTTGAAGCTTCTTTTGAAAGTGGCTGCTAATGGATTGATAATTGGTTCCCTGGCTTCCTTAAGAAGTGTGAAGCATTCTGCCAGCCTGTCAACAAAGCATGAAGTATTGTGCAAACTACCATCAGTTATTTGTATCTTCCTTCCCATTGTATCTCTTGTGGTGGAAGAATAACTGGACAAGATTGTATGGGAAATGCTCTCTATTCTTTTGTAAGGAAGGAGGTAAAATGGGCAAAGCTTCTGGAAGGTAAAGAATATGTGCAGCCTGGCCAAAGCTTTCCCACCATGATAGCCAGGATGAGCAAATTTCCTAGGCAGAGAATGAACAACTCTGAATCCAATGCATGGTGCTCAGCACAGGGAAGACAGGCGGTCAATAGCTTGAATGGATGGAAAGTGGTATTACTTCCCATTGATTTTGAGCATGGGTCCCTGAAGATGTGAATTAACTAAGGACCAGAGAGTAAGAGCAAAGAAGCTGGTTCCATCTTTTCTTTCAAAACGTTTTTCACTGTGAGATAAATCATCTTCTTAAAAACCTAAATTAACAAAAGACGATCTATTGAGCATCTACTACTGTGAGGGCAGCTCGAAAGCCAACAAAATGATTCTGAAGTCTCTGCTTGCTACAGAAAATGTTTTGGAACATGAAGGAAGAGTGTATTTGTGGATTCTTGGCAGGGTAATTCCCTAGTAAAGAGTTGTTTTGAAGAAAATGTTTCAAGAGAAGAACAATATAATACTTTGCATCTATTCAGACAACTTCTCAAAGAAATTTGAGCCATTGAACTAATATCCCCAATCCCCTTCTAGCTCTCAATAAGGAAAGGGCAATGTTGTTTGCCAAGTATTGTATTAATATTTATTGTGACTAATGTATTGTAAAATTTAGGGCACTTATGCTGACTTTTGCCAGAGGAGCTTTTGTATGTACATTTATAAGCACTTTATAAAACACAGAGAACAACCTTATATTTTATATTTTTATAGACGTTTATAGGTATTGTCCCTTTTCTATTGATAACACTATAATATATTTGATCTAGAGTTAACAGCAGAACACCAAAGTTTAACACTGTTCCCCAACCAAAGTATGACCTGCTCTGTAACGATCCACTTTCAAAGTAGCTTCCAGGTACTTATTGTGGAATATGTGAGGACTATTCATGTCATAGTGATCTTTTTCTATAAATATGATCATAGAGGTTTAGAATTTTTGGAGCCAGAATGGAGTGCTACCCTATTGGATAGGTCAGTACATGAAAATCCAGAGAGAAGATGCCTGGCTTTAGTCACAAAGCTGAGCTAGAACTAAGAACCTGGTCTTCAGATTTTGAAACCAAAGTCATCTCAGTGCACCAGGCCTTTCTTATCACCATACTTTCTTATCAGCACTTGAACTATGAGCTCTCTGAGGGCAAAGCCCAGGACCTATAAAAGCATCAGCTTGCCTGCTGGGTACTCAGTAGAGAGTGGGCAGATGGAAGTCCCTCACTTTGTTGAAATGCAAGTGTGACCTGGCTATATGCTGCAAAGGCATGGGGCCAGTTTGTTCCCTCTGGCTTCCTTCATGGAAGCCAGCATCCCTGAGATTCAGGCTGTGTCCCGTTACTCTCCAATGTCCATACACACTTGCGTGATGGAAGTGCCGGGGATGTCATCCTGCTCTAAACCAGAATTGTCTAGAAGAAGAAATGCCATGTCGTCTCCCCAGAGTACCTGCTTAGCTTTCATCCATAAGCCTCAGGCCCCTCATCCTTGTTTTAAACCACAGGGAGCACTGACACATACTTGTCGAGACAGCCCTATCCTCTTTCCTTCTCAGCTGTTTGCAAGCAGTGCCCAGCTCACTGGAGGCTGCCAGCCCTGCTTGTGAACACCAAGGGCCTGCTGGGCAGCACTTCAAGGTCTTCTGCCCTTGGTAAAGGTTTTACAAGGATGTTCTAAACCTGCTCCTAAGAGCCAAAGAGCCAAGTAAACTCTTGGAAGGGTCAAGCAGCAGTCCCTCAGCTGGCATTCTGCTACCTGCCTCTTTCAGCTTGAGAAACAGTGAACCTTATCCTGGTCCTAAGAGGCTGGCTGGTTTTGCTTCCCATGTCAATCCTCCCAGCTCTTTGTCACAGAAGCTAGATCCTCCTCCATTTCTCCCTGCCTTGTTTTATCTAGATAGATTGAAGAGATTAAGCCCCCATGGCACCTGGGGCTCCCACTGTGTGTACCTTTATCTTCTCAGGCCCTGCCTCTACAGAGCCCTGCCCCGTGCACCCGTCCCTGGGCTTGGTCTCTGCAATGGACAGAGCCTTTGTGTTTGCCTGCCCTGAGCTGCTCCCTGCTCCTCCAGGTCCTTGTGGCTCCCAGCATGCTACGCGGCTAATGCTGTTGGGCTCTATATTCTAACCACAGTGGGGAGCAGAGATGGGCAGATATCATTCAATTTTTTTTTTTCAATAAGGGTGATTTGTTCAATGTGTATTTAAGGGTGATTTGATCTTTAAACCTCTCAAGACTTTTTACATAAATAAACTCAAAAGTCATCAAAATGCTTTGTCAGACAAAGTGATTTTTGTTTCATTTAGAAAGTATAATCACCATGGTACATCCCAACTCATCAACTCATACACCAAACTCTCAGTCATCACAGAGACCCTGACAGTCTCCCAGGCTATTCCTCTCCCAGCCCCGAGGGATCACCGATCTCTACTGTGCAGAACTCAAGACCCCAAGTAACACAATGAGCCGGGGGAAGGATCTGAGGATCAGGATGCCTGTCTTTCCCTGAGAGAAGCACATGGAAAGAGATGGAGAAAGTGGAGTGACAAGGGATGGGAGAAGACGTGACAGCCCAGAGAAGCTGGAAATTTTGATTTCCCAACAGAGACCATGCCTGGGCCTCCCTTGGCTACACACAGCCCCTCATCCTTGCCAATCCCGCTGTGACTGAAAATTTAAGATGTCATTTGTGCTGCAAAGTATGGTCAGGTCATCCAAGAGGAAGGAAGAAGGGCTTCTTTGTTATCTCTACAGAACAGACCACTCAACACCAACCCCTTCCCCAAAAGATCAACAATGCAAAGATAGCTTGATCTCTTATCCTTCCCTAAATCCAATATGAGATGAAGCAATTTTAGGAAACTGTTTATATCCTGGCAAGGCCAGTTTCCCACAGCACTGAAGGTTGGTGGTGTCTACAATCTTACAAACTTGCCAGTCCCTTCCACCTTGCTTGATTAGATGGTGCCAGTGGTGGCAATGAGGATGAGCAGGAAATATCTGGGTCTGAGCCTGGTGGGCTAAGCCCCAGTGGTATCTCCTTGCTCTTAAGGATCACCAAGAAGGGTAAGATGGCATTGAAGAACATCACCAAATGTCAAGAGCACTTGTTCTCAGTGCTATAGTCGACTTTGCCTACCAGAAATGAGGACCCCACCAGCAACGTTCTGAGGAGTAGAATAAACCAACCAGAGTGCAGCTGTTGTTACAACCTGCAAGGTTCCCAGGGATGGGGCCCCTGGACTAGCTAGGAAATGGGCCCCTGCCTCTCGGTGAAGACCCTGGCGTGGCCTCTTCCCTGCTCACTTACACACGCAGCCTGGCTTCTTAGCCGACCATTGGTTATTCTTTTGGCATGTGATTGCCTTCTGTCCCACCAGCTCGAAGGCGGGCTGGCACTCAAACTTGAGTGTGTCACCGTGGCGAAACCGGGAGCCTTCCCTCCGGCCATACGCAGGTATGCCAGGGTCACCGCAACTGCCCTGCTCGATCTCTGAAAGACAGGAAGATGAGAAAACAGAGACAAAAGGTGACTTTATACCTCTCTTGGAGCTGAAGGTCCACATGACATGCTCTGCTGCTCTTCTGCCATAAGTCAGTGTTCAGAGTGACACAGGTAGGATTCAATGTTCTTATAAGGAATGAGGTTTGTGAGAAATCCTGCAATGTCCTGTTTCATTGCAGCATCCTAGGATGAATGGGCTTCCAGCTCTCAAGTGCCTGAGACTCTGTGTCCACATAAAGTGTTCTAGATGCTTGGATGTTTTGACCCCTTATCCCTCCCTAAATCCAATATGAGGTGAAGCAATTTTAGGGAGAAGGTAGGTCTACATTCTTCACAGGTTACCTGTCCCAGGAGCAACAAATTCCACAGCATTAGAAGTCTTTGGAGACTTCCCCACTGAACCTAATCTTGCATCTGAACTGCTAATGTCACATGACAGATCTCAAGTACAGTCCATTTCTGAGCAGCAAAGGCAAGTGCAAGATGACACAGCAGTTGAGGCTTTGCTCCCTGTCTTTTTCCCAAACCAGAGATTAATTGAGAATAAATGTTCACTGCCTGCTGACGTGGAAGCACCTTCATGGAGATGTTTCCTTAATTCAATTTGAGATGGTAGCAGGTAAAATGAAGCAAATGACTCACTGAGTATGCTTTGAAAGTTCACTTGAGTCAACAGTGGTGAGTCAGACATGGAGTGGGTTCTCTGAGACAGCTCTGGGGGTCCTGAACCCAGTGGGCATGATGGGCTGGCTACCTCACTGGAGAGGCAGTCAGGACTCAGACGCTTCTGGAAAGGAGTATGTCCTGGCCAAGCCTCTAGAGCTTCCTCTGGAGTCACCCCCACTTCCACTCATGCTGTGCTTAATGCTGTGAGAGATGGACAAGGAGGGGGTGGTGGAAGGGAGGAGGAAGAAGAGGGAAGGAGAGAAGCTCTGTTTCTGGGGAGGAGCTCTGTTTCCAGGGAGAAGGGCGTCCTGCAGGACAGACAGGAAGTCATGAAGCCAGTGCCAGACAGTGAGGTGAGGACTGTATGAGTCCTGAGATTTGGGAGAGAGGGGCCCAGAGTCATCAGGGGAGTTTTTTTTTGACACCTACCCAGGATTCTCAGGACAAAGGGACCCTGCCTGTTCAGTAGACACCATCATGGGCTGTCAGGCACCCACAGTCCCTGAAGTTGGTATGTGTGATCCTGACAGGGATGATTCTACAAAGGCTTTCCTACCACACTGTGGGGCTTCTGTGGGCTGGTCAGAGTTGCCATCAGCTCCAGGCACTGCCTTTTATGGATAGGCTCTTGACTGTTGCATTCATGTTACTGCAAAACAAAGGCTGTCAGCTTTGTGCTGAGAGCAGGCAGGACAAGGCATTCTATGGCTGGGGTTGTGTGTGTGTTAGAGTGTGTGTGTGTGTGTGTGTGATCATCTAAGTCGAGCAACAAGGGTCCTCCCCTTTGTGCAGGGGAGTCTGTATGACCATGTGCCACGTGTGAGGCATCTCAAATGTAAGTCAGCCCACTTGCCTCTCACCTCACATGTGCCCCAGCCTCACCCTCTACAAGTACGCCTGCTGAAAACATAGCTGAACCCCCTCTGAAGCTGGCTTTGCTCAGGCTCAGGGATGGGGGAGGGGATACACTGAGGCATTCCAGGAACATGGTCCCTTTGCTCCAGGTCCCAGAGCTCCAGGGCATCTGAAGGAAAGAAGGGGCCCCTGTGATAAGTCAATGTGGAGAAGCAAGCAGCAGGACCCACCTGCCTCCAGATGTCCCCAGATATGCTTTCTGGGATATAGCCTGGGGTGTGAGGGCTGTCACTGCAGGCATTTTGAGACCTGGTGAAAGTTACACAGCATTTGAAGCCAGAGCTGGATCCTTCCTGCTGCCAGGGGTAGAACCCAGATATAAGGTTTCCTAGCGAGGCCCCACCATTGCTGTAGGAGATATGCATGTGGGGTACGTGTGCCTGTGTTCCTGCCCACAGCAGCTAGTCTGTGATTGGCTTAAGAGAAAGGGAATACTAAGGGGGATGAAGGAATCTGCCCAGGCTTCCCATTGTGCAGGCACAGCCCTGTGCACATGCCCACATCCACCCACCCATCACTTTCTCCTACCATCATTCAATCACAGGCACCCACTTAAGCACAATGCAATGAGCACCTATTGTGCGCCAGTTGCTGTGCTAGATCCTTGACATCTGGACATGGTCTCTGCCCTCAAGAAATGAACAGACAAAGAAACAGGTGTTTATGATACAGGGGATTTGTGCTGTGGATGCACATAGGAGAAGCACCTAACTCAAACTTGGAGAATCAGTCTGGAAATAGGGTGTGGAGAGTGGAAGTACTAACCTCATCTCCAAAATTTCGAGGGGCACCAAAATCTCAGTTATCATGACAAATAATATCTTAGTGCAATATTTTTTTTAGAAAATCACAATTAATGCCATAAATCCAGTTCATAATGAAGAAAAATACCAACATTTAAAATAAAGCCTGGATCCAACCCTATGCTCAGATGACTCACCTCACTGGTCTCACCATAGTCCCAGCACTGTCAGAGCCTGTCTTTGATTCAAATGTTGATGTGTTTTAACATGGACATTTCACATTAATATTATTTTTTAAAACAATTTGCATTAAGTGTTATATATCTTAATTGTTGCGTTTTTTCCCCCCATCACTTAAATTTCGTGCTCATGAGTGCCCTGCTCACCTGACCCTAGTCCCAGTCCTGGGTCAGGAAAGGCTTCTTGGAGGATGTGGTGTCCAGGCTGAGGCCCTAAGGCTGTGGTGGAACCAGGAAGGTGAAAAGGAACAGCAGGAGAGAAGGAAGGGCCTTAGATGGAGGGAAGAACCCTTGCCAAGTTCCAGAGGTAAGACTGTTTGTAGGACTGTGATATAGGAGTGACAGTAATTACCCAATAGTTATTGCCACAGCTAACATTTAGTTATATAACTAAGTGCCTGGTCTTGGCACTTGGGTGTACCCTCACTGAGACAAGAATGCAAGAAGAGGTATAGATAGGTCTGAATGGAATCGTCAGTAGGAGATGCTGAGTTTTAAGGTACTAGTGGGACCTCCAAGTAGAAATATCTAGTAGGAAGTAGCTACATGGGTCTTAAGTTCAAGAGAGAAGTCTGATCTAGAAATTCAGCTCGTAGATTGTAAAAGAAGCCACGAGAAGGATGAAACGACCCAAGGAGAGTGAGAAGGGATGTTGGTCCAGGACAGGACAGTTAGGGACAATGTAGGGACCAGCAGAATGCTAGACTGGGAGAGTGGGGTCACAGGAGCTTAGAGAAGAATGAGTTTCAAGAAGATCAAAAGCATTGAATGCTGCAGGGAAGTTTATATAGGATTGTAAAACAGGTTAGCAAAAAGAGGTCACATTGATACTGTCAGGATTGTGTGTACTGATGAGGCCAACACCCAACAGGAGAAGAGAAGGTGATACCACTCTATCCAGAGAAATTAGGTAGCAGCTCATGAGGCATATGGCCTGGGTGGGAGTGGTTAAAGTAGTTTAGTACAGGGGAAACTTGACCATATTGAAATGCTAGAGAAGAATAAAGGGATGGGAGGAAAGATGTACTGAATGGTTAGTTGAAGATTTGGAGGAGAAGGGGGTCCCCTACAGGGGCTCCAGAGAAGGAGAGAGGCATGGGACTGAGAGCACACATTAGAGACCACAAGGGATGCTCCTTCCCTCAAGACCACAGTCAAGAGGGAAGAAGTGGTGGCAGTGAGTTTTCAAGTAGGATGGCAGGAGACCAAGGGAGATCCTGTGATGACACAGGCTCTATTTTCTAAGTGGAGGAGGTCACAGTCTTTGCTGAAGGTGAGGGACAAGTCATGGGAAAACAACTTGAGGAGAATGTCTGAAGCTGTCACTCTGGAGAAGAGGAAATCATGCCTAGATGGATTAAAATGTACCTCTGGGGCCCACCGAGGGTGCAGATGACTCATTTATAGGGATATCACCAAGCGGGGCTATATGACTTGTCCCAGCAGCCCTTGACCACTCGATTCCTGTAGAAGTAGAGGAAGGGGTAGGAGGATTGACTGAGTGAGGGGGGATTGGGCTTAGAGAAATGGAAGACAGTGGGGCAAAGGAGCTGAAGACGTTGTTCAAAAGAATGGCCAAAGTGTTATCCAAGGGGCTTAGGATGAAGAAGGAAAGAGGTGAAGGGACCAGGGGGCGATAGGGGAAATAGGGGTTGGGAAGGGATGATGGGCAGGAGTAGAGGGAGTGTCATGTGAAAAAGCTGAAGTATGTGGAGTTGAGATTTCAGAGGTGCTTGATGATGAGGTCCAGCTGTAGCCAGGGTGGAGTACACTGAAAGAAAGTGAGAAGGTCAAGGCCTGAGAGGCAAGGTGATGGCAAATAAGGAGGAGGAGACCAGTGACAGTGATGAGGAGGGATAGAAAGTGTCAGAGCTGGAGACAGCATAAGGTCAAAGGGGAAGGGCTTTACATGTGGGTGGAACGGCATTGGCGAGCGAGCATATGAGCCCCTCTCAAGGTGAAGTTCATTCGGTGTGGGGAAGTGAGCTTCTAGCACTGCAGAGGGCTACAGGGTCGTGGTGACCTCATGGGAACTCAGGTTAAAGGGAGCATTTGGCAAAGAGTTCCAAGGCATAGGGGGATGTGTTGCCCAGAGAACCAAGATTGGGTAGAAGGAAGAGGAAGAACAGAGCAGGGTGGGGTGAGAGTTTGGGAGCTCCTTCCAGGAAGGCAGACGGGGCTGCTGGCTGGCTTCTGTCCCTTTGACGCCTCCTGTCCTGGCCTAAGCCTTCTCTCCAAGCTCAGAGTCAACTCCTGCTGGAAACACAGGGACCCTGTGCTCTACTGGCCTGCCTGAAAGGTGTTTGATCTGACACTTCTGGTCAGGTGCTGACCAAGTCTGACGTCAGGACCCAGAATTGCAAATAGATAAATGGATTTTGACTTCAGAAAAATCACACATGCAATTTCCTGTTATCTGGTTTAA